CTGAGGAACAGCTCAGATGCCTGGCCAAGGTTAAAGGTAGAGTTTGTGACTACAGAACATATTTTCCCCGTGTACAAAACTATCTGGTTGGCAAAAGAATTAAACCTACAAACCTAAAAGGATGCTTGTTTCCTAACCAGCTGAGCTGAATAGCCCAGATGCTATTTTTATCATGTCTGTTTTCTGTTAGAGATTCTAACTAACACAGACGCCTGGGGCTCCTGGGTGGCTCAGTTGTTTGGCTTCAGCTTCCGCTATGGTCCCAGGGCCCTGGGATCAGTCCCTGTATCGGGCTCTCTGCTCATTGGGGAGTCTGCTTCTCCCTCTCCCATTGCCCCTCCTCTCTGCTTGTGTTCACTGTCTCATTTGCTCTCTCAAATAAATAAATACAATCTTAAAAAAAAAATCTCTTGTCTCCATGTCTATATAACCATACTAACATAAATAATAATCCTCTCCATCTTCAGAATGAGTTCACACGTTATCTCATTAAAATCATACTTCATACACATAAATGTCACCCAAAGCCATGCCCCAGAAAGTCATTTTCCAGACAGCAAGAAGAATTTTGTAAAGCGCCATATCCCCTTTCTAGTGCCACTTGGTAAGAGTTGCTGTCTGTCCCACATGTCAGAGATCGGGGAGAAGGAAAAAAGAGGAAGCAATTGTGGGAGATGATATGGGAAGGAGGTAATTCCCATAAGAATGACTCAGGGTGGTCACTGGCTAATAACGGAGATGGTAGGGGGGTTCCTAGGGAATCCTACAGGTTTAAGATTGGAGTCATTGTCCATCGTCCTGTGCTTTCTCCTCCTTGTAGCTTCCTATTACAAGACTCTGCACTCTCAGTTAAGGTAGCAACTGTGTAATTGTTTTCTTTTTTTAAAAATTCTATTTATTCACAAGAGACATAGAGAGGAAGAGACATAGGCAGAGGGAGAAGCAGGCTTCCTGCAGGGGGCCTGATGTGGGACTTGATCCCAGGACCCTTGATCACGACCTGAACCGAAGGCAGATGCTCAACCACTGAGCCACCCAGGCTCCCTGCCCCCGTTTTTAAGATTTATTATTATTATTTTTGAGAGACAAACAGAAGGGGAAAGAGAGAGCATGAGGGGGAAGGGCAGAGAGAGGCAGAGAATCTGAAGTGGATTCCACACTGAGCATGGAACTCTACTCGGGTCTTGATCTCCGGACCCCAAGATCCAACCTAAGCTGAAACCAAGAAACACACAAAACACATACAAAAAAACCTGCCTATATTTTACTCAGTTTCAAACTTTATTAGTCTATTTTTAATTATAAAGCCATGTTTTCTTTTCCCTCCCCCCTTGTTTGTTTTTCATGTCAAATCTGTTTGAGTTGTTTTTTACCGGGAAAGGAAGGGTCAGGGGATGAGGCGGGCTCCGGGGGCTGGGGAGCCACAGCTTCCCACCGAGCCCGACCAGCCAGCTGCCCCTTCCCCCGCTTTTTTTTTTTTTAATTTTATAATTGGAGCCCTTGGTGAGGTTACGTGTGCCATGAGAACCCACTCTACGCCATGACGCTGGTGCCTCAGTGTTAGCCAAACTCTGGAGTCACTGACTGGTTTGACTTTTATACGGTGAATATGCATTTGGTCTGTACTGATCATGGAATAAACACATCTCTCTTTTTTAAAACAAACAAAAAAAACTGACCCACCTAGGCACCCCACAACTGTGCATTTCTGATGCCTCTTCTTACTACTGAGTTCACTCTCCTACAGAAAGGCTTCCTAAGTGGTTACTTCCCAGCAGTCTCTTCAGCCTAATTCTATAATATTCAACAAGCGTGTCTTGGCTCTATGTTGAACAACTAGTGATAAAGCCATGAATACGAGGGAAACAGTCCTGCCCTCAAGGAGCTTCTACTGTAATGTCCAACATGGCAGTGCCATATATTTGGCAATGATACTGTTTCCTATTTTAACAAATGATGAAAATTTTTTTACTGTGTTATTGGTTTTATGGTTTTATGATTGAAAAAAATGCATACTAATTCTGTTCAACTCACAGCTTTAGTATTATGATAATGTTTGACAAAGGATTCTTTGTAGTTTGCAGTATTTCCATATGTACACAGAATTTTAGTGACTTTGGGTCACTCACTTAATAGTGAGAAAAGAACTAGAAGTCAAGACTGCTGACCCCTTCTTACACACAAAGTGGTTCTTATAGATTACAACCTATTTGTAAATTAGAAACTTCCTGGTTAGTTAATTTTCAATAATTCAGAGGCTGAAAGAATCGAGTTATCCAGGCACCCTGCTTTTTTCTCTTCTATTGTCTCTTTTCTACTCAATTGCTTAGGAACAAAGTAGAAAACACTTATAGAATGCCTGCTGAGTGCAAGACATTGATTGCAGTGGGCAGAAGACAGGGAAATGTGAAATTGTTTAGTTCAGCTATATGCTTTTTAGTGCCTTTGGAAAAAGATTTTAGTAAGAAGGGAAATTTCAGTCATAATCTATTGGCTAAAATTGAAGGTTTCTGTGAACAGATGAGTGAAAATATCAAGAGTGGTTAAAAAGAAAGGCACTTGAGTGGCTTCATCGGTTAAGCATCTGCCTTCAGCTCAGGTCCTGATTCCAGGGTCCTGGGATCGAGCCCTGGGTCAGGCTCCCTATTCAGCCAAGAGTCTGCTTCTCCCTCTGCTGTTCCTCCTGTTTGTGCTCATTCACTCACTCACTCACTCACTCTCAAATAAATAATAAAAATATTTTTTTTAAAAAAGTGGTTAAAAGAATAAGCAGCTTTCATCATCTCTTACCAGAGTCACACAACCTAAGCTTAGTTCTGTTGTTTCTCATTGTGATTCCTATTTTAGGAGAAATTGCTAATATTTTTTTTAATCTTCGAAATTAGTACTAATGAGGGGCAAGTATTTATGTATATGAGACCCTGTGAAATATATAAAATAAGGGTACAGTACTGTGCCTGTTCTCAAGTGGCTTTTAATCATACTAGGGGAAAAAGAAGAGAAACACTTAAGCAGGGAGTAGAATTGCCAGAGCAGTGACTCCTGGGTGCAGGTGTCAGTGATAGTACCGTGTGCCATCGGCTTCCTAGGCTGTACAAGATTTCATTATTGCCCCACTGCATTTTATTCCCAAACAGCAGCCAGTTGTTTTTTCCTCTCCTGCTTTATTGAGATATATTGACATATACACTGTGTAAGTTTAAGGTGTATAGTGTGATGCTGTTTTACCATACATTGTGTATTGTAAAATGTTTACCAGGATAAGGTTAATTAACACATCCTTCACCTCACACAGTTACTATCTTGTGGTTGCTGTTGTTATGGTGAGAACATTTAGAATCTACTCTCCGTAGGAACTCCCAAGTTTACAATACAGTGTTGGTAACTCTAGTCACCCTGCTGTTGGCTACAACCCACATCATGACACTTCAGTGCTGACTCAGACTTCCCTCCTGGTGCTTATAAAGGTCTACATGATCTGTGCTTCCTCCACTCCCCCTCCTTCTCTCTACTTGCTTTCTGATTCTGCTGCAGCTAGGCTAATCTTGCTGTTCCTTGAAAATGCGTGGCACTTAGCAGCTTGGGGTGAGGGTTTCATACTCCTAGAGTTTCATCTTCCTGGAACATTTTCCTCCAGATAGCTCCGTGGCTCCCTTCTCTCATCACATAATACTAGTGAGGCCTGCCTATTTTGAATTGTACTCTGTCCCCACTTCTCTTGGTCCTTGTTCCCTTTCACTGTATCATGTTTTTCCTCAGTACTTTTTACCATCTCACATATTTACTTATTTGTTTATATTCCGTCTTCCCCAAGTAGAACGTTGGCTCCATTAGGACAAGGAATTTTGTCTTTTTTTTTTTTTATCACTGCTGTAATCGTAGCATTAGAATATTGGTGCATGTATTGGGTACACAAAAAAAGTATTTTTTAAAATGAACTAATGTAATAGAATAGAAAAATGAGAATGGCATTTTAGTTAAGGAGCAGAGGCGTGTAAGGAGAAATAGGAATAAGTATATGTTGGGTGAGATAGAAGAGGTGGGCCGAACTGTAACAGATGGATGGTTTCTTCTTTGAGGACAGTAAGGTGGTACCTGAGTCATTAGCAACCAGATAAAGGAGTTTGGGTTTGATATCAACATAAACAGTAGAGTTGTTCCAGCTTCCTAAGAAGAATAATCTAACCAGTGGTGCTTTTGGATTATCAGTTGGGAATTGGTCTGGAAGGTAGGTTGAAAAGGTAAGCCTGAGGCAAGAAAACCAATGAGGTTATTGGAGTAATCCAAACAAGAGACCTTGGGAGAGGGTGGTGGTGGGAAAGGAAGGGAGCAATGAGGACAGGTCAGATCTGTGGGGAAGCCAACAGCAGGAAGAATCAAAAGGACCTGGTAACTGTACTAAATGAAGGATAAAGGAAAATAAAGGTCAAGATAACACGAAGGTCTCAAGACTGGGACAGTGTGGAAATTAAAACAGGAGCCAGCTGGATGCTTCTAGGGGCTGCCCCGGTGGCTATAGTAAAAGCCTTCTCTGTCTCCTCTGTTCTATCACCTCTTTCTCATTCCCTAAGGAAACTGTGCTGGAAACTGAATGTCTTTCACTCGTCTTTAAAATCAGCAATGGCAGAAGGTAGACTCCAGTGGTCACACATGGATTTAAGCTGAATCCATGGATAACATGTGTCTCGTTCAGTGAGCCAGAAATGAGAAATCATTGCTACATAAAATTAAAATGTTTTTTTGTAATTCTTACCGGTAAAATATAAAATTGTTTTTCATACAAACTTCCTGTCTTTATCGTCAGCAGTAATTTTTAAATTATTTCCTGTTCACTGTATTATAGCATAAATAATCATAAACTATTTCCTAATCTCTACGTACTCTGTTTTATTTAAATTCATGTTTTTCTTTCCATATAGAATTTATAATTTTAGGACCCCCCCCCCTCCAAGCCAAGTGAAAATACAGATTTTACCTTTTACATTTTTCTTCTGTTTCAGATTTGGTGTGAAGAAGAAGCCAATTTACATTAATGTCATAAGGGATCCTATTGAGAGGCTAGTTTCTTACTATTACTTTCTGAGATTTGGAGATGATTATAGACCAGGATTAAGAAGACGAAAACAAGGAGACAAAAAGGTAATATTTTAGTTTTAAGATGTCTATAAAGTTAATTGTTTATCAACTGCAATGAACAGTGCGCTTTAAAAATTTTTTCTTAATTATAATGTACTACTTGCTAATGGTGGGAATTTTTGGGAAAAGAACCCAAAAATATGAAGAAGCAAAAGTAAAACGATAGTTGATATTTTGGAGTACACATCTTTTTTTTTTTTTTTGCATTTAAAAAAAGATACTTTACTTCAGTTCCAGGGCTGAATATTCCTCTCACTATAGTCCTAACAATTTTCTGTGAGACCATTATAACTATTCATTCATGTGATGATTTTGTATATGTCCTTTGGTTCTCTTAGTCTCAATCATGGCAATTTATATTGATATCTGTTCATTGGTTTAAGAACACTGTTTTGCTAAAGCAGCTGGGTTTTTTCAGACAAGATGAAAATAACAGTTCTTACTTATTAGCAGGTTTGGATTTGGGTTGTCTTCTATTCAAAAGGGTTGTCTTCTGTTTAAGTGCATCTTCAGAGTAGCACCACTTTTACTTTCCTGAGAAACCAAACTGATTTGTCACTTTTCAGGTGGAACACCTTTACTGGGACCCCATTGCTCACAAGTCTGCCCCAGGCACATGAGACACAATCTGACAACACCTGAGACTGACTTCTCCGGCCTTGTTGTCCTTGGGGCGCCCAGTGCTTCAGCCGCATGAATGTTGCTGTCCTCCAAACTTACTGTCGCTCCATACTTGGGCACCTTTGTTCCCCATGTTTAGAACATCTCCCCTTCTCTCTGGAAAACCGTCCACTTCTAAGGTCCAGCTTGAATGGTAGCTCTTCGATGAAGTCTTTTCTGGTGTGCCATTGGCAGTTAGTTATGTCGCTTCTTTGAAGGCTCCCAGAGCACTCTATTCAAACCCCTTTTTAAAGCATTTATTTGTGGTATTTGAGTTACTGGTTTACATATCTGTCTCCTTCAGAAGGTTGTGAGCTTCCTGAAGTGGGGGCTCTATCTCACTCTCCCACATTTCCCTAGTGTGCAGCACAGTGAAGGGCTTATTAGCAAATGAGTTGACTGAATGAGTCCTGCATCTTTGAAACCTAAAGTGTTGCATAATCATGATGCTGGATACCTGATCTGACAATTAATTTTTCTTAAGTTGGATGTGCCTTTTGTATCACATGAGGCAGTGGGGTTTTTTTAATTTACTTTTTTCTGTTAGAAATTGCTATTTCTTTCCTTAATCTTAAAGCTTTAGGCAAAAAGTACTGATTCAAACACAGATAACTGACCAGATCTTTTTTTTAAATGTCCATTGATCTCTTAGCATTATTTAATCTTCTAAAAATATGTATACTTAGTTATTACGGTGATTCTGCAGTGTTTTATAAAATCTAATAATGTAACTCTTTTGTGACTTTGTACTTTAGAATTTATTGATAGTTATTTCTAAATTCACTCCAACACTATTTCCTACTTTCCTTCCTTCCTTTTCCTTCTTTCTTTTCTTTTCTTTTCTTTTTTTCTTTTCTTTCTTCTTTCTTTCTGCCCTTTCACTTAACAGTGTTTTTACTCAGTAAATGTTAGTGTCCATTTCACACATTGGACCAAAGGAATATTAATGTGGGTAAAGAGAAGATGTATGATCACATCAGGTCTTATATGCAACATCGGTCACTGTAAGCCCTGGATACTATGGTTTAGTGATTGTTGCCCTATGTAGTTAGGGTAATTAGGGTAATCATAATACTTAATATGACAACAATAATAGTTCACATCTCTTGAATGCTTATTGTGTATCAAGTACTGTTTTATATATGTACAGATGTGTGTATTTTTCAGGAAGCCTGTACAGCAGTTCTGTAGGGTGGCTGCTGTTCTTGTCTCTATTTTACAGATAAGGAAACTGAGGCACAGAAAGGTTAAGTGCCATGTCCAGTGTTATACTACCAGTAAATGATAAAGCTGGAATTTAAACCTAAGTACTCTAATTCCAGAGCTCACCGTCTTAAGCCCTCTATTATCTTTCAAAAGGAGAGAGGGAATACAACATGTTACCTGACATTTATTTGTGAGAGATGTTCCCATGTTGCGTTTTCAATACCCACAGAAAAATTCAGACAGATGTTTTAACATCATTTTCCTTTCGTATTTGAAAGTTTTAGGTATATATGCCCTCTCAAGCCTGGAGACTTAACCATTTACTCTGATAATGATGGAGCTTGATTTGTTTTTGTTTTGCCTTTTTTTTTTTTAAGGTTTTATTTATTTATTCACTAGAAACACAGAGAAAGAGAGGCAGAGACTCAGGCAGAGAGAGAAGAAACAAAAGATTTGTTTTATTTGGAAGATTTCAAATACTCTGTTCTTTATATTTGTAACTAGAGGTTTACTTAGTGTAATCTCTGCCCAGAACCTGGAAAATAGGGATATTAAATAATACAAAGGTCAGCGCTAAAGAACTATATAGAGAAATCAGTGATTCTCAAGCTTTATTAAATAATACAAAGGTCAGCGCTAAGGAACTATATAGAGAAATCAGTGATTCTCAAACTTTATGGTCTCAGAACTCCTTTTACTTTTAAGTTCTTGAAGACCCCAAAGAGCCTGTGTTTGGGTGATATTTATCAGTATCAATAAATATACCAATTTACTGGGAAATCTTAAAAATAATAATTTAAAAGTAACAATAGGAAACCTATCATATGGTAACATATATTTTAATGCAAATAACCATTTTTCAAAAAAGCATAAAGAGTTGTATTTTACATTTTTGCAAATTATTTTAAATATCTGGCTTAATGTAGGCAGCTGGATTTTCAAATCTGCTATTGAATCCATCTGTTTGTATATGTTCTTTTGGTTGAAGTATATAAAGAAAATCCAGGTTTACATAGATATGTAATTGGAAAAGATAGGATTTTAATAGCCTTTTTAGAAGATTGTGGATGTTTTTTCTTCAATACTACACTAAAACTTGACAAGTAGTAGCTTCTTAAAGTTGTTAAAGTATGGAATCTGAAACCACAGCAGTGAACTTTTTATGCTCTGCTACATTAAAATCCTTTGATATATTTTATATTTTCAATGGATTTTTTAACTGAGCATAATTGTATAACATCATGCATCGGTCACTGGAAACATTCATACACTAAATTAGGTGGACCTTCCAAATGTTGACACATTTTCGTGTACAATATCAGAAATTCATATTCATTAATGTTGCCACAGATCTCATCAGAGAAGTCTTTAAATATTGAGAAACTATCAAATCTGTGGTGACAGATCGGGTTTTCCAAAATTTTATTTTTTTTGCTTGAAAGCTTAACTTTTGTCATCAGCTGCCACAAGATTTCTTGGCCTCTATGCTATTGTTGTTTTGGGCCAAACAACTCCTTGTTGTATGGGGCTGCCTATACACATAGGAAGTTAACCAGTGATTCTGACCTCAAACTAATAGCATCCTCTCCACACTCTCTAGTTGTAAGCACCAGAATGTCTCTTGACATTGCCAGGTGTTATCTGCTGGGTCAAAACAGCTTCATTTGGGAACCACTGGGCTACTAATACTGTCAGTTGTTTTCTGCCAAGTGGCAGGTACACTTCATTCATTTCGAGAAAATAATCTACCAAATATCCAAGTTTGAATCCATAGTTTGTCTCTCAGTCCTTCTTTCAATGTGAGCCTTCGTATAGCTTCTAAGTAATATTAACTGTGCCTGTAATAGTCATCACTCACATTGTCTAAATATTATAAATATTTCAGCTTTGAACTGCCCTATAGATTATTAAACTTTTTTTTAAAGATTTTATTTATTCATGAGAGACACACACACACACACACACACACACACAGAGAGAGAGAGAGAGAGAGAGAGGCAGAGACACAGGCAGAGGGAAAAGCAGGCTCCAGGCAGGGAGCCTGATGTGGGACTCAATCCCGAACTCCAGGATCATGCCCTGGGCCAAAGGCAGATGCTTTAACTACTGAGCCACCCAGGCACCCAACATTTTTTATTTTTTTAACATTTTTTTATTAACTATTATTTTGTTAACACCAAGTGGGAGGGAGTCATATTTCTAAGAGAAAATAGTTAAGTGCTCAAAATAACAATCTAAAGGAGAATCAGTTTATGTTTGTTAAGTACTCACTAGTCCCAGGGATCACAGTTTCTACCCCAATTTGTATTTTTTTTTTCTTACTCTAAATTAACTAGATTTATTGACAGCTATAAGTATTACAGTGAATTTAGAATATTCTACCCAAAAATATATATTAGTTTATAAAAGATAGTAATGAGATTAGAAGAAATCTATACTTAGTGCTAGCCAATTCAGTCATTAACTTACAAAATACTACCTGTACAGTTCTTAACAATTCACAATCCCCTGACCATGTTTTGTTTATGGAACATGACTTTTACAATTCTGTCTCACAAAGGCATTTAAAAAATTATTGTTTGCATAGCAAGTACTTTATATGTTGAAAGCATCACAGGAAAGCAATATAATTTGTTATACCTCATATTTATTTGGAAGCTTCATACATATAGACTAGTATTCTTTGTCTCAGTAAAAGGTGAACAACCTAGAGTCAGCCTTGACTTTTCTTCTTGGGAAGAAATAGGTATTTCCTTTCACCAAAAGAGAACAAACAGAAGAGTCAGTTATCATGGAGTTGAAGAAAGAGATGAGTTCAAATTGAATATTATTTTTAGTCATGTACAAGTCAGTTTAGGTATCCTCCAAAAATTGTATTTGTATCTCAAGCAACTAAATTATAGATTTGGGAGTCATCAGCATTAGGTGGGAAGGGAGTTGAAACAAGGGAGTTAATGAAACTGCACTTAGAAGACCTAGAATATGGAGGGAAAAAAAAGGTCCAAATAAAAAAAGAAGAAGAAAAAGAAAGGGAGCAAATGTGTAGCTCTGGGTCGTGCTAGCATTTAAGGAGTAGGCAGAGAAAGAGGAGCATGGCAAGGAGATTAAGGTCAGGGAATCAGAAGATAGACCCAATG